CAGGGCCGGGGCCGCTGGGCGAGAGCGGCCCTCGCCCCGGCCCCGCTGCCCGCACACGCATGCACGGCAGCAGCCGGCGCTTCCCCGCCCCGCAAGTTACTTGGGCGCTGCGGGCACCCCCTGCCCCGCGCAAGCAGCGGGGCCGCGTTGATTCTGCGGCGATCCCCCACCATCGCCCTGTGCGTACAAAGGAAACTCCCGTAGCATCCTCTGGTGTTAGCCCCTAACTGTGCCGGTAAGCGTGAAAATAATCAACGGGGTGCGAAAGGATTTTGTTCTGAGCTGAGTTTCTTGTCTTTGGGTCTAAATTCAGTAGTGGGAAAAAAATTTAAGAACACTAACGTGTGTCATTTGAACAAGCTTGAGTACCCGTTTGCAAGGCTAAAGGACGAGAGGACAAGACCTAGAAAGAGATGCTGCATGAAAAATGAGTGAAATCATGCTCCCACTAGTGTCAGTGGCAAAAGTCCCACTGTTCAGTGGCACTAGGCTGTCACCTTAGCAAGCTGCTTCCACCTTCACATTTTCAAATGGTGTGAAATACGTCTGCAGTCAGACAGAAACAATTGCCTTTTTTAGTTTACAATTTTTCCAGATTTATGCTATAAGCCCTATCCAATTACAACAAAAAATGGCACACAACAGTGCAAGCCACGAGGAGACCTCTGTGTTGTGTAGTTTGTGTTTCTATTTGATCTGACATGCTTCAGGGAGAAAATAAATGCAAATCCCACATTGCACAAAGCTTACCTGAATATTCAATGAAACACATTTCCAAATGTGTTTCATTGGACAAAATAGAAAATTTATTACTTTGCAAGTTTTTCAGCTTAGTCAATCAAGCTTTCATGCCTTCAGACCACAGAGGGTGTGAGCAGGACATCCAAGACTGCTTGCTCCGGTGCAATCTCATGACAATTCATCCAGAGAGCATTAAACCCATGAAGAGACAGAAGTTGCCCCAGGAGGTATTTCCTCAGCCCTTGGAAAATGCCAGCTATAAAAGAAAGCTGGATTTACCGAGATGTCAGTCAACTGCAGCCAGCGCAGGATCAGCACACAGGTCTCCCAGACAACAACTTTTCCTAGCCAGCAGATATGTCCTCAGGAGCAGCTGTTTCAGGATGGATTGTGGAACACATCCAGGAAAACTGCTTTAGAGGTTTCCAGGTATCCACAAGGGACTAGAAATCATGCAGATACTCAGTGGCCCAGGTGACATCCACTTCCCTTTTGCTTGCCAATGTATGCATTTAGGGGTACCCAACACATCCCTGAGCAACAAGCAGCCCAGGCTGCCATCTGCACAATTGATGGGAAGTATACTTCCTCCACTCTGCTGCTTGCTTAATTGCTAGTGTCGCTTCCCAAATCCTGTAATCATAGTTTTGAACTTGCACAATCTCAGCCAAATGATTCTCATCCAGTCCTCCATCTTGCTCAGACAATGCATAGCCAATTGGTCTGCACTAAATATTTAGAGAAAATGAAGATACAGAATTGGCAAACGGAAACACTCACCTTGGCTCTCTCACTAGTTTGGCTGGTTGTACAGCCAGGGAACCACATAGCTGAAGGACTGGGACCTTGAAAACACCTAACAAGAGTCCTAACAAGAGTGATATGGCTCTATGGAATCACCCGTAGGGGTGTAGGACTGTTGATTTCATCCAAGCATAGTTACTTGGTTTGTTTTTCACCCTCTGCAGATGTCATTTTCCAGTCAGCACCCACAGCAGTGGGATAAGGAGGGTGCAGCTCTAAGGAGAATACACATTTCAAAAGTTCCTGGGAATTCGTTTATTGTCTGAAACTTCTCTGGCTTTCAGCAGCTCCTCAAGAATGTGTTAGAATCTGCTCAGTGTCAACCAACTGCCTCAGTGGAGGTTTTCAATTCAGCTGTATCAGCACAATGGATACCTTATCACATCCTTCTTTCACATAGATTAACAATCTCTTCTGTGTAATATGCTTTCATTTTTCAGCAGCACAAATATAGTGTTAAAATAATTGTCTATAACAAATATTATTTTAAATATCTTTATTAAAGACACTCAGTCTAGTTCTATTTTCCCCTAACTTCTTTCATAAGGTCGTAAAATAAACCAGTATGAAATGTTAAAAATAAGTTCTTGTCATCTTAGTGATATTTAAAATGTATTTTTATTCCTCATTGTTTGCTATAAAGTTGATAGGAAATGAGAAAACAGTTCTATCTAATTTTTCACAAAAGGGTCACGTTCTGACTAGTTCTAGGCTATACGTTTGAATGGTTACTTTAGTATCACATATGAGCACTAAACAGCCCATTTTTTTCATTTAAGGAATTAAAATTTTGCTTTGTAGAATTTCTGTAAGATTTCTATATGTATATGAGGCTGAGTACTCAGTGGGAGAAAGAAATGTAACTAGACTACCCTTAGAAAGAAGTCCTGTTCCAAATAATTCAGCTCAGTAATGGGGGAAAGTGTGTAGAGGAGAAGGTCTAATAAATGATGGGAAGCCTATGAGGACACAAGTCTAGTGAAACTCCATAATGATTGTGCAGCTGAACATTTCTTGGAAGAAATTTCTGGCGTACACAGATCAAGAGGGAACATGGCACAGGACAATGAAGCAGGATCAAAAAATCCTTCATCTGTGATACCAGCAGCAGGGATCACAGAGGAGAAAGGAATGGAGCCAGGCCTCTGTACAGGCAGCAAAAGCAGCAAAAGACCTGTTTGGTCTACGGAACCAGGGAATAAGTGGTATTAATCATGTAATCAACACATTTTGAAATGACAGGTCTGTCCATGTCCATTATTAACATATCTATGAATTTAACCTAGAAATTTACACAGTATTGTTACTTTTATCAACTGTGCTGCCGCTCTGTGCACTCTGTGTTGTGAGTGCACTCCAGCAAGTCTCTGTCCCAATTCTCCTGCTCAGCTGCCAGATAAACTGCAGTGCCTTGCTTTGTCATGGGTTGTTGTGCATCACTAGTGTGTGGTCATGCATCTCGCCACATCTTTCCATGCTGGGTGAAATGACTTCATGGTAATAGCCAATATTTGAGGAAACACCTCTAAAAAATGCCAAGTCCCAATCAAAGCTCTAAGCAATATATGAAAAACACCCAAATTACTCCCATGAAGTCCATCAGAGGATTAATTTCTTCCTAGGCATCCCTGCCTGTGGAAGATTGGAGCCATGGTTTTCTAGTTCTCAAAAAACCTTCTAGACTTACAAGGAGCGTTAAGTCTTTAGGAAAGTCAGTGGAAAGGGCGATGCCATCTGAAATCCCTGTTTGCACCATATTGTCTTTCAGACCAATCAATCTCTCATCCTCAAGCAGAGATGTCCCTAAGCAGAAGGTTACACCTAAGTGAATATAACAGAAGCCTGGTTTTTAGTCAGAATAATTTACTGTTTTTGTTAGTGGTGAGAACACCACTTTTACAGTTTATGAATCATTACAGTTTTGCTTTTCTGCCCAAGATTAGGTAATGCTGAGAATGTGTCTGTATCTCAGCTAATACAGAGGAAACAAATCACATATTTCTAACTTGCCAAAAAAGGATGGGCAATTTGATAGTTGCAGATCTAATTCCCTCCGAATGTCAGTTTCGACTCTAATTTCCTCTCAATTTAAAGGATCACAGCTGTGAGTTTGCCTTCCTCATGTTTTTCAAGACCATGATGATATCTCCAAGCAAGGGCAAGCACTATATGAAATCAGAATGACAGGATGACACATTTTAGGTCATCCACTAGAGCACACTGGCTCTTTACTGTACCTGCAGTGGCCTCCTTCTCTGAATGGGGATGAAGGTTGCAAACAGGGGAAACATCGCTCGTTCTCTTCAGGGAGCAACCTAGCGTGCTCCCCTACCTGGAAAGCTCCAGCACAGGTCTGGTCTCATTCTGTTATGCTGGTGCAGCTTGTGATTCTTCATTAACATCTCCTTTCTTTTTCCATGGATGTAACTGAGATGGGCGTTCTCACAAAGGCAACATAGTAGCAAAACAGCAAATGTGAAATAGTAGCACCAGGACCAAAACTAGAATACATTGCTGAGAATGAGATACAATATTTCAAAAATAAATTTGCACTTCCCACTGTAAAGTGTCAAAATCACTACTCGCTGCTTTTTCTTAATAACTCTAGTACAGGAGCTTCAAAAGTGGTCAAAGAAAATACATCAGTGGAAATATTTTCTCTGAAAAATCAGATCCTTTGAGAAGAATACCTTTTGAAGTCGTGTCAATTCCATGAAAATGTTTTAAGAAAGCCATACAAATGTTCTGACAGCTTCAAAGCATTCGATTTTTTTTTCAGTGTAAAACATTTTAATTTCTAAATCACTATGTTTCAATTTAAGTTAGCATAGCAGACAGTGTAACATAAATTAAAAGGTGCCATCATTAAACATTTCCATCAGTTTCATTTTTCTTGCAGAAGTTTTGGGGTTTTTTTTAAGGACTGCAAAATTTTCAGATTGCATTGCTAATTAGAACAAAGACAAATCTCAAAAATATTCATAAAAGTGAACTTTTATCCTCTGAACAGCATACTCCTGGCAGTGTTAAAAGAGACATTAAGAAAAATTAAAAAGAAACAGCCAACGAAAAAAAAGAAGCAAAGTGTCTGGTTCAGATAGCTTCTGCGAGGGTACTAAATTTCAGATAGGAGAAGTCCACAGATCCAGGCCCATGCCTAAAGTTAATCTTGTGTTTTATTCAGGCCGACATAAAATCCAGTTTTCTACACAAGGATTTAAAGCACCGGAGAGATTAAATCTGTTGGAAACTTGGTGAGATTAGGGCACCTGCCTCCCACAGGTCTCTTCACAAATCTTGCATTTCAAGATAGAGTATTAAAATAAAAAATAAATTATGCCAGAGCTCTCTTGGTGCTATTTCATATTCAGTGAAGGAACCTGAGCAGAATTAAATTCCTACTCAGCTACTTAGCACTGGGTTAAGTGTCAA